ATATATATATATATATATATATATATATATATATATATATATATATACTCTAAACTTACAGAATTCATTGTTAGAGGAAGGTCTGGTCACAGTTTTCTCTGTATATTTCTTTCCTCCCTGTTAAAACTCCTCTCATCATGCTGGTTGGGATTATGTGACCAGAACAAGACCCCAAATCCACGATGGGTTTAAGAGGCGGCTCACAGATGCAGAACCACACCAGAACAACAGCTAACGCTGAAGGAAATATTCTCCCTGAACAGTACAGGAAATATGAAATCCTCGGCAAATAGAAAAAAAGCAACGACCTTGGAGCACTGACAAGGGCGCAGCTGGAACATTGTTAAAATTACAGCGTTTCACTGAGATGTGGCTGCAGGAACAACAGCTTTGCTGTGATTTTAGCTTTTACAACTGCAGAGTCAAACAGCTCCTCTTTAGCTTCTTCAGCTTTAATAAGGACTGATACAGAAGACTACACATGTACCATGTAACAGCCTGACATGAGAGCATTTGCACGTTAGGACATTTCTGAAAAGTTCTGGAGAAAATTTAAAAAGTGTCGATGCAGCTGCTTGCCAAACCAACATAAACTTATAATCTAAGCTATTAAAAAAAAAATCCTGAAATTTGATTAATAAACTGTATAGCAAGTGTAAAGAAAATCAAGATATATATAAAAAAATATGCTGGTGGCTCATTATGGTCGCCAGGGTAACCACATACCTGTGGCTCTCACTCCCTGGGATGCAGGCAAAAACAGACTGAAAAATAAGCCTCAAAGCAACAGTCGCTGTGTGAAAACTCTGTCTAATTTTTATTTTTCCAGTGTTTTATGTAGAAAATATGACATCTTACAAAGACCATTCACTTCTAGTTTTGAATAAAAACAAAAACTGAGTTAAAAATATTTCTGAAGTTTGAGTCCACACTGCGCTCTGAGAGGATCGGAGAGAAAACCTTCTCATCTGTACTTAAGAGGTCATCAAAGTGAAAGGAGTTTGCATTTTTTTTAACTACTACTGTGTAAAACCTGTTAAACATTCTGGTTCAGTCACGAAAAGTCCAACTTCCTGTGACCCGTCAGTACTTTGATTGATGTCTCTACTGTGAAGTACGACTGAGCTGCAACGCTTCACAGAGGGCTGTGCTTTTATGTTTGTCCAAAATCTCATTTTTATCTATGAATAAATTTATATACTTTCAAATTTTATCTGCATGATGTACTGCGAGCAAAAATCACAGCACACTTGTTTTTGATTGAGCTGCACATTTTGATGTAAAACTTGAAAAAGACGAAAACAAAACAGAACCGGAGAAATTGCATGTGTGCATGAAAATGCAGTGTGAATGCTGATTGCAGAAGAACTTGCTGAAAAACAGCTGAAATGTAGCTCAAATGGAAGAACAAACTCAAGTTAGTAGAAGAAAGCAGAAAGAACACATATTTGCTGAATTAGGTTTAAAGAAGCAAAAATTAGCATAAAAAATTAGGAAATTTGCTAAAAATTAAAAAAGCTTAAATTAGCAACAATAGCTGAAAAGGCATAAAGAACCTTAAACTACCAGAAAGAAGCAGAAAGAGCTGAAATGAGCCCCCCACCCCCCACCCCCAAAAAAGGAAATAGCTGAAAAAGCTGAAAGTAGCATAACTTGAAAGGAGCATAATAAGCTGAAATTAGCAGAGAAATGTTACTTAGGCTGAAAATAGCAGAAATCACCAAGAAAAACTTGAATTTGTCTTAAAACAGCTGAAATGAGCTAAAAACTGCTAAAATGCTAGCTGCAAAGGTAGAAGAAGCTTAAATTAGCAGAAAAAAATCAGAAAGAACACACGTTTGCCCAATTAGGCTTAAAGAAGCAGAAATGAACACAAAAAATAAATTATCTGAAAAAAGCTGAAATTAGCAAAAATAACAGCTGAAAGGTAGCTAAAAAATCAGAATGAAGCTTAAGCTACCAGAAGGAAGTAGAAAGAGCACATTTTTGCTGAATTAGACTGAAGAAAGTTGAAATGAGTGCAAAAAATGTGGAATTAGCATAAAACAACTACCAGTAAATAGTAGATGAAAGCAGAAAAAGCTGAAACTTGCATAAAAAAGCTGAAAGGAGCATAACCAGCTGAAATTAGCAGAAATAAGTTAGAAGAAGCACAAAAATGTTGTAGTTTGCAGAACGAATCTAAAAGGATCACAAAACAGTTGAAATTAGCTGAAACAATGTTTAAATGTGCACAAGGAAGCTGAAAGAAGATGAACCAGAACAAAATGTGAAAGGAGCAGTAAAAGGTTGTAAACAGATCTAAAGATCTGAAGGATGTAAAATGAACTCAATTCATTGTCTATGAGACAACAAGTGGCCAAAAAGGCTAAACATTTCAAAAAGCTAAAGTTGCACCAATACCAAAAGTCATAGCACCGTTCTGCTGAATGTTTTGATTTATGAATTGTTGAAATAGTACAAAGATTGTGGTACGAGAAAGATGTAAAAAATGTACAGAGGAAAAATAGATCACAATAGTGTGAATGCTTCATAAACATTCACACTATTAAAGTGAGGTTGTTTGAACTTCTATACTATTGCACCCATAAATATGACAAAAAACAACTTTCATCTCAATTAGGTAACTAGACTGAAATAAAAATGATAACCAGAGTTTGTATTTACGAGTTCTTCTTGTTCTTCTGCAGCACAGTGATAACTAAGAATTTGGTATAAAATCTGTGTGTGACAGAAGTGAAGTAATATCGAGCTGCTCGCCTCGAACAGCAACGAGGAACGCTTCACAGAAGTCTAATAATCTCCCTCCACACTCCACCGATGGTTTTATTTATGAGTTTAGCAGATTTCCCACGGCTTCTGTTCGAGCCACATAAAGCTGCACGGCTTTAATGTTTCACAACACATATCCACCACTTCCCCCTGAGACCTGGAAACATGGGATATGGAGTTTGGTTTCTCTCTTGAAATAAAGCAACGCCAAAATTAGAGACGATTAAACATTTGTAGGAGTGCCTAAAATGTTGTGTAAGTGGGTTTTTTTTTATGTTTTTGTCTAGCTGCGAATGAAGTGTGGGTGAGGTTACTTCCTGTTTTTACTCAAAATAAGCAGCTCTGACTTTCCTCTCTGGTTTAGGGGATTTTAGGGCCCACAGTGTTGCTTAAAATGAACACGTCAGGATATCTTTCAGTAACTGTGACTAATCTTTCACTTAGTTTTTCTGTTTGTGTGCATCTATTTCTGCTCGACATCCACCTGAACGCTCACCTGCCTGAAAGCATGGCAGGTTACCATGACAACGGGTAATTGTCACCTATCATCACAAGTCCCGGCTGCAACCTTGCTGCATATTTTAACAGGTCTTTAAATAAAACCCTGTCGACGTGCACGGCGAGAACTTTTCTCTGACATTTTTTTCCCACGTTAACCGTGTTGATGAAGTCATCAAGCGAGCGCGAGGTGCCAGAAGTCAAGAGACGACACACCTTTGTAAAAACACCCCGTTCCTTGAGCAGGCGCTCAGGGTCATACAGCTGGTGGATCAGTAAAGAACAGTGTTTTGTGTGACACTTACTCTACGGAGACGGTGTAACGCTCAGGCAGCAGGTCACAAGGAACATCGCCTATCAGGATGTGCACTCCCGCAGGTCTTCGACCCAGGTTCCTGCCTTGCACTGTGAGCAGGGTCCCTCCTTCAGCAGGGCCCCTCAGGGGGGAGATCTGACGAAGACAGAGTGAAGAAATGAAGAGGGAAAGAAAAGCCTATGAAGGCGCTGTAACACGCACTATAAATTAGGGCTCATAAGTAGATTACCACCCTAAAAATCACTCAGATAATGACGGGTGATAATTAACACGACCGAGAATTAAAGGAGCGGAAACGCCGCCTCTGGTTGGGATGTGGAGAGCGGCACGGACAGAGACAAGGATCCAGCTGAGCAGACGCACGGTTTAGGTATACACACACAAAGCAGACTCTTAACTGTGCCTGTCTGAGACTCTTCAGCCTCTAATCCTCTACAGCACATGCAAATAAAGAGCAGGCTAAGAGGCCCCTTCACATCCCACAAGAGACACACAGAGTGGGAAAGTGAGGGCTGGAGAGGCGAGGTGTGGAGCACAGCAGAAAGGTGGACGAGTGGGGAGGCAATTTAGAGAACCGAGTGTCGAGAGGGGAGTGAATGCTGATGATGGTGGTAAGAGAGCAAAGCCTCAACAGGGGAATTAATGCACAGAGATTTTCTTTTTATTCCTTTCATCTGTTTTTCCTGTGTCCGTCTGCGCTGTCAAATTCCTCCGCTCTGTTTCTGCTGCTGATCAGAGGCTCTCACGCGTCATTTCAGCCCTTTGGTCTCGTAACTCTCCATTTGGAAGCCATGAGCAGAAAACGAGAGGACCACTGCTGCTCCAGTCACTGCAACACAACAACCTGACAGATATCATCTTCTAAACTAAAAACAGAAGAAATCTAACATCTCCCCACTGCGGCTGTCCCGGCAGCTCGTTGCTCAGAATAACCTCCAGGCTGAGGCGAGGTCGCGGTGACCCCTCCGTGTTATTAGCCCGGCTCCGGCTCTATCAGGAACTGAGACAAGGGATGAAAACCGGCCCTTCTGTTTGGTCTAGGTGAGAGGTTTGGCTCGACAGCCACATACCCACAAGGAACAACAGCACAGATAAAATAAACCAGCTAAAGGGAGAGGCAGCTGGGAAAAGAAAGCTTGTGTTACTTTTAATACAAACAGTTGAAATCAATGTGTTGCTGTGAGATTGGCAGCACAGGAAATGAGGCTTTTGTTTTTGTGTAGTTTTAAGTTCTTGCACATGTGACTATCTACTTGCAGTTCAATTACACTTCTTATATCAAACACACACCTGTGCTGCACAAACAGCATGTTAATATCCAACAAAGTTCAGTCAGGTCATCTGGACGGTTTCTTTCTTTTTTTTTTTAAATTTGAGACATTTCATCCTTCGTTTGTTCTAGAATTGCGCCGCTCAAGGTTAGAGTAGTTGTTACTTTCATTCTGGGATTTTGCTTTTGAAAGCTTTAATTCCTATATTTTCTGAATGGCTTTTTTTGGATGATTACTTCCTCTTGTACTGGATGCTGTGCAGCTGGAAGGATTTTTACTGAAACCTTTTTACTTTAGGACATTTGTTATGAAGTGTAACCATGATGACAAGGTGGGTTTTACAACCGGGAGCAGCTGATTAACATCACAAAGCTCAAATATTACCTCAAATACAGCACAAAATCCCAAATGAGTTGTTAAGGAGGCGCCATGGATGCATCTCCGTCTACCTGCTGGAGGTGCTTGAGTGACTGCTGAGATCCTGGAGCTGTCAGAAAACGTGGCTCAAAACAACAAGAAGACCAGGACGATCCCTTGACACCTAAAGTTGGTTGTCTACTATGATGAGGAGCTCAATAAGCTGCTGAGAGGAGTGGCCATCGCTCAGGGAGGAGATCTGCTCAACGTTCTGGTGCCGCTGCTGCCCAGGAGGACCGAGAGGCCCGTTGGGTCCGGGTGGATGGATTGGCATCTGCAGCCAGTTTCTTCAGATCCGCTGCGGGACGGACTGCTATGGGAGATCCTTCCTACCCACAGCCATCAGTATCTACAACAACTCTTAATGAAACCAGGATGATGAGCTACAACAACATTTAATTTCCCTTTGGGATTAATAAAGTATTCTGAATTTAATTGAATTGAATTTATCCAAAGGACTTCATCAGTTCGAGGAGCCACAACAAACTCAGTCCCACAAGCAGCACACTCCCATAATGGACCAACCAGTTTGCTGGTGATAAGATGGTTTGAGGAGTCGACAGGGGGGAGGGCGGGCCCCAGAAACCATTTTATCACCATCAAACTGGTTGGTCCACTATGGGAATGTGCTGCTTGTGGGATTCAGTTTGTTGTGGCTCCTCGGACTGATGAAGTCCTTTGGATGAAGAACGAAACGTCTCAAAAAAAGAAAAAAAATTGTCCAGATGACCTGACTAAACTTTACCGGATTTTTTTTACCTGGATTATTGAGCACGAACTTTGAAACATATTAATTTATTTGTGAGAATAAACAAAAGACACTACTCCGTTTCAGACAACCTCCCAAAAACTGTTATCGTACTTATTTTCAGAATGCGGTGCCTTGGAGCTCTGACTTTACATGAGCCTGAGTGCTATTCATTTACACCTCTTACAAGTCTGTGAGTCTTGATTTACAGCACAAACCCTGCCAGGCCTCCAGGGACATCGCAGGGTGTGAGTGTGCCTCTGAAAAACCTCCAAACAGAACGAGGGCTGAAACGACTCCTCACAAACTAAATGTAGCGTGTATACACAAACTGTATCCAAATCTGGCCCCGGATTGTCGATCAAACTGATAAAATCCATATGCTTAGTTTCTGTTTATGTTTCTGCACCGAAAAGATTCTTTCACAATCAGCACTTTCATCTTCCTCTTGTCAGTCCAGTTCCTGTGCATCACGCTAACCAAGGAGGATGTGAAGACAAAAACAGGAAAAAGCTTCTTACTGCACCCTTTAGCCTCTCGTTTTTTTTCTGTCCACTACGTTCTTCATTCTCTCCCCTAAACCATTCAGGTCCTTTTTCTTCACACGTGAAAAAGGTGTTTTATCAGTTCCTGTTTTGGACGCCAAACGATGTTATTTTACAGCAGCTACATGTTACATGAGAACAAAGAGCCTGCGGAGATAAATGTCTCCTTTGTCTGCCAGCGGGGCTTCGAACAGAAATTCATTTTTCATAATTAGGTGGTAAGGTGGGAAAGTTTTGCACATAACGAAGTCCTCCATTTTAATATTACGTTTTGTCACAAGTTTTTTTTTGCGATGGAGATTGTATGTGACGTAGGAGAGTGAAGACAAACTAGTTTCATTATCTTAGCAGCACCCTCTTCAAGATATAGCAAAGAGCTGCTGCAGTCAGTGTGTGTGTGTGTGTGCGTGTGTGTGTGTGTGTGTGTGTGTGTGTGTGTGTGTTCAGGGAGATCAGATCTTTTTTCAGTAATCTGGAGTACTCTGGTTCTAACCCCCGTGGATTCTCTGGGAAAACACGGCAGCCAAAGTGTTGCATCACACACCCGACTGAACCACAGCCCCTGAATCCTCTCCTGCCAGAGAGCCAGTGGGGGAATACGTGTGTGTGTGTGTGTGTGAGAGAGTTTCACAGTAATGGTTTACCCACACACGTCTCTTCTCGGCTAACTTCAGTCACGTAAGAAGTCCACATGAGTTAGACGCTCAAAGAGCATCCTGTTAGTCACAGTATGCTGACAGCTACAAAGAATGAAGGATAAATCGTGAATGCTTCAATATGGCCAGTTTGTGTGACAGATTGTGGGCTTATGTGTGTGTGCGTCTGTGAAAGAGAGAGTGTGTGTGCTGCCTGCTTTGTTCTGCCTGCTTATTTTCCTGGGCCGACCAGGTTTTATCTACAGGAAGTTCAGCCCGACTGGCTCTCATGTGAGCCGTGCTTCCCATGACCGCCTGCCGTGGCTGCGCTGCCATAAGCTGCAGAAAAAAAGCTCAAGGAATCATTTTAAATACGCTCGGCCTGCAGTTAGACAAACAAACAAACATGAGCGTGCAAATGAGTTCTGTTAAGGAAAGTGATCGTGATGACATGACCACAATTAGCTCCTGTGTTGGATTAAAGTGCATTAATTCCTTTAAATAATGTGGTTTTGCTTCTGTTGCGGCTGAAAGCTCAGAATCCCTTATGGCAGCTCCTTTTTGTAGCATTTGTGGTTCAACACATATAGCTCCCAAACCACAACTCACACAGTTTAAACACACATATTGTTGTTAGGAAGGGCAGAAGGTGTTCGTTCCCATGCCCTCCCGAGTGATTACAGATCTTCTCGGCTGTGTCCCATGAGTGTTAGTATTATTACGAAATGGACCCTTTTGAACAGGAATCTCTTCAGCAGCTGACACGGGACAGACAGGATATGGGGGTGTCACAGCATGTGAGTGACCTCATGATTTACCAATTGAAACCGGAGCCAGGAGGCCACAGAACAGAGATGCGTGGGGTGTGGCGGATGAATACAAGCTCTTTTAGTGAAGTAATCTCACCTTGTGGATCTCAGGAGCAGGACACTGGTCCCTGATAGACTGACAGTCACCCCTCAGCCTGCAGCTGTTTTCACACCAGCCACAGAGATGTCCCTGATCCTCACGGCCCCAGCACTGGGAACAGTCCGAACTGCCCACTCCACAGTTGTACACCTCCACTAGAGGGAGAGGAGAGGCAGGGTGAAAACACAAAGTCAGTTGTAAAAACAGAGTTCGACAGGAACTTAATACTTCTGGTGACAAATTGTGCAATTTTGGCAACTTTAAGGTCAAGGTCAAAGTTTCTTTATTGTCATTCGCATCATATATGGTACATGTAGTGGAATGAAATTGTGTACACATGTTCCCAGTTACATCCAACAAAAGTATAAATTGTAAAAGAAAAAAACGTAATAAGATCTAAGATATGAACCAAGAAATACACTAAAACTAAGAATACACTAAACACTAGTAGTACGAAACCAATACGCCAAACAGCAGCACGAACATGAGTCTGTGTGAGCAGATGAGCATGCATGAACACAGCAGCATGAGATAAATCAGCAGCATGAGATCAGCAGGATGGATAGTCAGCAGCACATACCATCATTCAAAGTGGCATTACAGTGATTTTTTTTTCACAGTGATTATCCTGGTTAGGGATTCATGAGTCTAACAGCTTCAGGGTAGAAGCTGTTCCTCAGTCTAGTGGTTCTACACTTAATGCTCCTCAACGTCCTGCCTGACACCCCTGCCCTTATAATCTGTTATGCACTTAATGCCCCTCCACATGCTCCATGGGTCTTGTGAGGAGAAATGACCCTGAATCCTCTGTATATTTGTGGCCTTGGCCCTTTTAATACCAGCAACCAGCTCTTTCCTTGTCCTTCTCAGCTCCTGTGAGTTGCCAGACCTGAAGGCAGCATCCCTGGCAACTTATGCTTTAATCGAGTATTTGTCAGCAATCTGGACCAGTGATGACGACACAGCACTTTTGCAGGTTTTTAACAGCATTTTAGATTTACCCCAGACACAATGTTAAAAAGATCCTGAACTTTCATTTGCCTCTTTTTGTGCATGCCAACAACACAGCCTTTTTTCTGTAAATTTTGCGCACCTGTCTCCAACTTATTTACCGCATAGCATCTTACACAAAACAGGTGTAGTCTAATAATTTGATTTATTAAAAATTGTAAGGTATTTAACACATCATATTTTTCCATTTCTCTGAGCATTGCATGGTTTGACCTTGGGGTGAATTTTGGACATCCTGGGAAGATTGGCAGCTGTTTTAAATGTTTCCATCTTGGGATCAGTTGGGATCACTTGGATTTTCTTTAGAAAACAATAAATACTTTTAGAACCCAGAAAAAAAATACATTTTTATCACGTCTTGATACATGAAACACTAATACTGAAAGAGGGTGAACTTTCTTTTACCCCATGACGCCATTTAAGCAAACTTTTGCAAAAAAAAAAAAAAAATTTCCACTGATAAAGCATTTCCAAATCATGTCTGAAGGTGCACTCAGAAAGTTTTTTTTCTTTCATTGCTTACATGAACCATATGGCCTGCGTGCTCTAAATAAACAAAGCATTTGGAGGATGATATATGCATGGTTATAAAAATAAACCAGCAAAATAAAGAGTTGGCGGAGTGGAAGAGAACAAAGCCAGAGAAAACAGATGATTATTTCCGTGTTCCAAGATGCCTCCCAGTGAGACGTCCCATTTGTATTACTCCATGCACATCTGTGCAAGTGATTGTGCACACATTACAGAGCGTGCCTCTGCATGCATGTGATAAAGTGTGTGTCACTTTAAAATTTGATGACTGTGCGTGCTGCGATGCCACCATCCTGTCTGCTGAACTGTCTAAGTGGCGGCGCAGGCTTGTTGTTCGCTTGCGGCAAACACATGAACTGCAAATGGCACATCTGGGACGGGCCGTGACTTCGCTTGTTGTAGCTGCCCCACAAGCTCAATAACGCGCGCGTCTTTTCTCATCACCTCCCTGTCGTCATGGAGCTCAAATTGTATTTGAAACAATAGCTTTGGATATCGCTCACAAGAGGCAGCGATAACACCTGAAATTGCAGCTCCTCTTGTTCTGTAATTATTATGTGTAATTAGGCGTTAGCAGAATATAACATTATGGTAAATTATTGGTTGTTGGCAAATTATGTGTTGTAATGCCCAAACTGCCATCATTACAAGTGAAAGAATCTAAAACTGTCCATCTGTCTGCAGGTTCACTCAGTTCCACCCGAACACACCAGGCGAGGTGGATTCTCAAAATATAGATGTTTTTCTCAACAGTGGTCTTAGCAATCCAAATATGGCCGAGATAAGGGAAAGACTGCAGCACATAAAGGGAATTTTTTTTTTTTTTTTTGCATGTCTATTTAATCATGGGTCTTACCTTTCATGGGCTGAGGGCTGTCAAGAAATATATCCTTCCTCTGACTGCTGAAGTCTCCTCTCCTCCTGAGGTTGAGGTGGTAAACCTGACTCCTCTGACTGGTGGACAGCTAAGTGAACAGAAAGATAAGGTGGTATCAGCGTTCAGCATCTCTGCCTCCACTTACTGTAGTGCTACATAATGATGGGTTCTTAGTCAACTCAACAACAGGGGTTTAAAATAATTACACAAGGTTTGACTTTAATAACACTGAGCACAGTGAAGGCACAAATTGCCCAAGCAGTTATTGCTCTGTACTTACCGTCACGCCGGTGCACTTGACAGTTGAGTTGTCCAGCCACACGGCCTCATAGCGCTGCTCTGTTCCAAAGTCACAGTCCAGCTTCTCCCTCTGTTGTGCACAACACTCATTTCAAAACAAGATGAAGCATCTACATCACGCACAAAGTGATACTACGCTGTTCCCAGAACAGAAGTTCTGCGCTAGTGCTAAACAAAAAGCTAAATAATACAGAGAGTCCTCATGCCTGGCAACAATCGTCATCTCATGCCTGTGATAATTGTGGCTGCCAGAAAATACGTTCAGATTTCATATTCATAAACATCTGGACTCCCACACCTCTGCAACTCATCTGGGAGTCGGAATAATGAGTGTGAATTTATTCCTCACAAAATAAGTGCCCTGAGTCTTTCTGAGCCAGGATATGTGATGCTGATGACAGGGAAGCAGAGGAAGGTGGGAGAGGTAGAGGATAAGTGCTTCAAGTGGAAGAAGTCATTTGTCTGTAAATCCATCCAGCTTAAAACGCTCCACTTTGATCAGCCTCTTCATGCCGACACTGTTTCCCTGTACTTCTGACACCAGAGACAGAGGATATTTTGGGCCTCTGGCAGGTTATTGTAATCCGGTGGGCTGTGAAAAATTCCCTGGAATTTTTCGTAGACAAAATAATAAAAGACAAACTTCTATTTGTTTATTATTACCACAGATTTTGATGAAACTTTCAGAAAATGATTATTGGACGTACATCTACAATTTATCACTCTTTGGAGTTACCCAATTCAAGATGCCTGCCACAGCCAAATGATCTTATCGATAACACAAGAATGTTCAAAATGTTTTACAGATAATGAGCGAAAATAAGATTCAGGTTTCAAGATGGTGTGCGGGGCACAGCTGTGTACACCAGGGCTATTCAACTAAACTGCTCAGGGGGCCACAGTTACTGAAAGACAGCAGCTCAGGGGCCGGACATCCAGCAATTAAAATCAGTATGTGGATAAATCAAGTACTACAATGATCTGATACCTTTTAAATTTATTTGTTTTATTGCACTGAATCATAAATGCAATAAACAAAACCCAAACCCAAAACCCACATAAATATATATTCAGTAGTCTCTCGTTTATCGTGGGGGATCTGTACCCTCAAGCCCTGCGATCAGTGAAAAAACACGAAATAGTATAATTACAAGTAGTAATTAGTAGTTTATTTTAGTATTTATACATATATACACTAATATATATATATATATATGTATGTATGTATGTATGTATGTATATATATATATATATATATATATATATATATTTTGGGAGACGGTTCCCACCTGCCTGAAGACTGCCACCATCATCCCAGTTCCAAAAAGCTCTACAGTGACTGGTCTGAATGACTATCGGCCAGTGGCCCTCACCCCGATAGTCGCTAAATGCTTCGAAAAACTGGTCATGACTCACATCAAAACAACCATCAACATCAACGAGGACCCTCATCAGTACGCATACCGTGAGAACCGATCAACAGAGGATGCAATCTCCTCTGTGGTCCACACTGCACTCAACCACCTGGAGCAGAAAAACTCTTACGTCCGTATGCTCTTTGTGGACTTCACATCCGCCTTCAACACCATGATCCCCCAAACCCTGATGGACAAACTATCCACACTAGGACTAAGCCCCTCCATCTGCAACTGGGTACTAGACTTTTTAACAAACAGACCACAGTTAGTGAGGATCCACAACCTCTCCTCCTCCACCATAACCCTCAGCACTGGCTCTCCTCAGGGATGTGTGTTGAGTCCCCTCCTGTTTACTCTGCTCACATATGATTGTGCAGCTATCCATCCAGGCTGTCACATTGTAAAGTTTGCAGATGATACAGCGGTGGTGGGATGCATCACAAACAATGATGAGTCCAGCTACAGGCAAGAGGTGGAACACCTGGAGAGCTGGTGCAGAGAGAATAACCTTCACATCAATGTGAAGAAGACAAAGGAGATGATTGTGGACTTCAGAAGGAACAAAAACACCTACACCCCCCTGAACATAAGAGGATCTGCGGTGGAAGTGGTCTCCAGCTACAAGTACTTGGGTGTACACATGAATGACAACCTCAGCTGGAGCAACAACACCACCAGCCTGATCAAGAAAGCTCATCAGAGACTCTACTTCCTCAGACGGCTGAGGCGAGCTGGTCTGGGAAGCTCAGTCCTCACCTCCTTCTACAGGTGTGCAGTGGAGAGCATCCTGTGCTCGAGCATCAATGTGTGGCATGGAGGCTGCACAGCTGCAGAAAGAAAAGCTTTGCAGAGAGTGGTGAAGGCTGCACAGAAATCTGTTGGAATCAGTCTCCCCACCATCACAGACATCTACACCTCCAGATGCAGGAAGAGGGCCACCTGCATCATGAAGGACCCCACCCACCCAGCACACACACTTTTTGCCCCACTCCCCTCAGGAAGGAGGTTAAGGAGCATTAAGTGTAGAACCACTAGACTGAGGAACAGCTTCTACCCTGAGGCTGTTAGACTCATGAATCTCTAACTAGAATAATCACTGTGAAAAACCATATCATGTTGCTGCTGATCTGTTTCATGTTGCTGCTGATCTGTTTCAATGTTGATGTGTTCATGCGTGCACATCTGCTCACAGACTCATGTTCATGTTTGTGCTGATGTTCAATGTTTTATGTTATGAGTGCTTAGTGTATATTTAGTTGATGTTTTTCTTAGTTCATATCTTAGATGTTATTACTGTTTTTCTCTGACATTTTATTGTTGGATGTAACTGGGACCCTGTGTACATAATTTCGCTCCACCACATGTACCACATGAGGTGCGAATGACAATAAAGAAACTCTGACTGACTCTGATATATATATATATATATATATATATATGTATGTATGTATGTATGTATGTATGTATATATATATATGTATGTATGTATGTATGTATGTATGTATGTATATATATATATATGTATGTATGTATGTATAAAGGCTTTTTTGCCTCTTCCCACCCTCTTGCAATATTCTAAACAATGTTTCTAAACCCTAAACGCTCTAAAAGATCAAAGAATGTCATGATGTCAGCTCCCTGCCTCCGCTGCTCTTTTCCACCTGCAAGCGCTCTTGGCCACGCCCATTTCTCCGCTGTGCACGGAGAACAGCTGATCAGCTGCAGCAGGAAGTTTATCCTGCAGTAAGGGCTGCACAAAGGTACAAGAGGAAGCTTTTTCTGCAGCTCTGGGCTGCACAAATGTGCAGCAGGTGCTAAATAATTTAATGTAATTTATTTTAAATAAAAATTTCATGTCGATTTTGCGGCTCATTCATCAATCAGTCAATTTTGTGTCATGTCCAATCTCATTATGAAAAAACGTGATAGAGCGAGTCTGCGATAAAGGAACCGCAAAGTAGTGAGGGACTACTGTAAATAATTTTTTAAAATGAACCCGTTGGTGGGTCGCACTGAAGTCACCCGCGGGCCGGAAGTGGCCCATGGGCCGCCAGTTGAATAGCCCCAATCATCAAACACAAAGATGTCTGAAACTCAGTTTTATTGATATTGACCTAAAATAATAGGGTAGTAGCTGAGAGTCATTCACAACACATGCACTGACATCTTGCCATGTTATGAGATCACATATAACATTATTTTCAGGGTTTGACCAAAATGGCTAAAACTGTGATTTCTTTAAATAAAATGATCTTAATCTAGAACTAAACGGGCCATGTGCATTTCTTCAAGGAATGCCAAGCCTTTAATTAGTAAATGTTTTAAAATCCTTTTCTTATCTACAGATTGCTAACTTTCCCCCCTTCCTCCGAAGACAGCATTCACACCTATTCACAAGAATTCCCAGAAGGCTCGGAGCAACGCTGATGTGTTTTGGCGAGGCAGCGTTTGATTGACAGCACATTTCCTGCTCCACTGACTTGAGCGAGATGAAGACGTTTGTCAAACAACGTCACTTTGTATAAACTTTCATAATTAAGAGCAGCATGAATGGCCGACCTCATCTCGGCTATCCTGAGGACGTGTGTGTGTGTTTGTGTGTAAGACTCGGATGTCTGTCACCATGGCAACACACCAGGAGACGTATTGGGAGGCCAGCCGGGGTTAGGCGTGTGACTGACCACGCCTGGCAACTAGTCGGCGCTGGAATGTTTTAGCAGTGGCGTCCTCATCCTCTCTGCAGGATCAGCTTCTGGCTCGGTCAGCGTGGATTAGCTACGAGAATAACTGATCTGGCTGAATGAAAATGAGCGTGAGCGAAATTAAGCCTCTGCCACAGCCTGCTGCACGCTGTACACTGCGCTGACAAAGACACAACTCATCATGAGGGCTGGCATGCCCAGACAGCTGAGCAGAAAGCTCATTCCTCATCACCTCATCCGTCTCTCAGCCAGACTCAGGTTTCACTCACTCATTGACCCAAATCCCAGCACACAAATATTCATCTGTTTTTAGCTCAGCTTGAAGCAAACACGCCATATGCTTCTGTTTTATTCCAATCATTTTCACAACATGCACGTTGGAGGAGATCCAAGATGGGCTCCGTAGCTGGAGGCGGTCTGTCATACCTCCTGGATGTTGCTCAGGGATAGGGTGAAGTCCTGGGCCTCTCCTGATGCCGATGGAGGAACCTCTGAGGCGATTAGGCGGGGACAGGAAGCTGCACTCTGGAATGAGGGGGACAGGAAGTGACGTTCAGGAGTTAGAGAAAACAATGGCGCCCACGCATACATCCGTAACCCAAAATACCTGTCCTGTTTATCTGGACAAGAAGGAAATGAGAGGGTGAAGTCTCGCTTTGAAGGAAACAACAATAGCTTCAAAAAGAGACGATGAAGGATGAGAAAAACAGACCCACCGGAGGCTGTTATGGCTTCCTCATGACCTCACAACCTAATAAAAACAACTTATTTTATGTTTAAACAGGATTTAGAATTTAAAGGGATAATTTAGATAACTTAAAGCAGGTTTTTGGGAAACATCAATTATGAACGATTAATATTTTATCTGTTGTACTTTGAATTACCTCAATTTGGAGGAAAAGGATGTTTGAATTGTCCAGTTGTTCAATATAAAGTGCCTGAAAACCCATCTGGTGTTACAATAAACGTAGTGTACAGAAGTTGTACACTGCAGCAGTTGTTGTTTTATATATATACAGTGTATATTTGTCCCTTCTTTAGGCTGCTCTTGTCTTCAGGGGTCACCACAGTGAACTATGTCACACGAAGACTTGGTGATTATTTTTATGCCGGATGTCCTTCCCGATGCTACCACAGACCGCTGAGCTACCACAGCCCTCTGTGTGGAGCACAGAGCTGCTATTTAGGGCGCCCGGGGGAGCAGATGTTGGGGGTTGAGGGCCCAGAGTGGGGCAAATGAGGGTGGAGGCAGGGGTGGGTGTTTCACCTATCCCAGCCACATTTTGATGTTTTCAGACCAGGGAGTCGAACCAGCGACCTTCCGATCACAGACCCACCTTCTCTAACCTCTGCGCCGCCACTCCTCATTGGTCATAACAGACCATAAAGCATTGTGGCCCGAGCCAAGACAGCAAGCTAATGAAGGGTAGTGCTAACGTACGCAGCTTACAAAGAGATTTTCAAACTAACTGAAATGAATTTTTCCGACAGCTCCATATTGTCTCTTCCTCGGCATGAGCTGCAGTGCAAATATTAGAAAAGTGTGAACAGAAAATAACTTGAAAATGCTTAAGCCTAAATACGAAACATTAAAAATATGTGATACACAATATAAAACAAGTCATAATTCAACTGTTGTGATGACATGTTGACTCGTTTTTATTATGTGCACACCAATGCAACTAACATTTGTTCTGAACAGAAATACTTTGTAGGTAAATACTCATTCATCATTTAAGTATACTTATTTTTTTAAGTTACAGCTGCAGCTTGTGACTTTGTAAATGAATTGTATACAATGAAATGTGTAACAAATATGTGTAAATAAATTATATAATAGTGAATACAGATCATTTTATTTATATTTTCTCAGCCCAAACCCCCAAAATCACGTCCATCACTTCACATTCAGGTGCGTATTCCTGCATATCCTGTTGGCATTTATTTATGCGACACCTGAATACTCACACATAAATATGAAGTATGCTGTATTCAGATTGTGTTTCAAACTGAAAATAAAGCACTACATGTGCACTATTTCCTATATCGTGTACTACAGAATGACCAGTATTTGAGCTATTACTTTAAATACCGTATTTTCCGGTGTATAGGTTGCAGATTTTTGCATAGATTTGTCAGTCCTGTGACTTACAAGCCGAAGCGACGTATATATGTTTTTTCCCCCCATATTTACAGTATAACACAATTTTTGATTGATGCTTTAAATTTCTAATAATTGCAACAACGAGTCCTCCTGTGCACGTTCACTTCACTCAGTTGGTGCAGGCGGAGGAACACTGGAGAGCTGGCAGCTCTGGCCGTGATGGATGGATGGATGGATGGATGGATGGTGCTGCCCAGGTGAAATTAAGCTGTTTTGACCATTAAATAAATGTATAATAAATGTGGTGGGTCAGTGGTATTAAGTGAACCTTACTGTACATATTTTTCCTCTTCATGATGCTTTTCTTGACTGATGCAACTTATACTCCGGAGTGACTTATACGGAAAATACGGTACTCAAAGTATCTTAAAAAGCACAAGGCTTTCATACATAAATGATTTCCCTTTTCCTTTTTTTAATCTAAAATGGCAAGTCTAATGGAGATTCCCTTCATTGGCCTTAAAGATGGAGTGATGTGTTTGTTGCTTCATGAAAAGAAGGTCATGTGATGTAAAACTAATTATTACACAGTCATGGCAATGAAATGCTTCAAAGAAACGTAGAGCAGCAGCAGATCAGAAGACTGTGAGCCACATCCTCTCCCAGCTAACTTGGAAAAGAAGTGTGAGCTGAATCAGACCCTGAGAGGAAAAATGTGCCGGGCCATGCAGGCCATGGGATTTTGGCCCTGGAGTAAAACTAAACGGGACACAAACAGTTTAATAGCTGACTTAATCTTGACATTGTCAGGAAAATGTCCAAAAAGATGGCAGTGGTTTGTTGCAACGAGGCCAGAACTGTTATGGTTAAGTTTCTTTCTTTTCACTGACGCTTTTCCCCCTTACACTATTATGAATCCCCCTCTTTAATTTTCTCTTTTACCCTTCACATGGTTTTATATTCCTCAATATATATCTACAAAATCCTTCTCTTCACACGTCTACTCAAAACAAAAATTGATATATGAAAGCAGTCTGGACGTTTGGTTATAATTTCCTACACCAGTATGAGCACAGTGGATCTACTCTTTCACTTCGTCACACAAATCTGCCAGAAAGCGAAACTTAAGAGCCGGACTGAGGAGCTTTAAAACGCCACATTAGCCTGTTATGAGTCTGTAAAAACAGACCCTCCTGAGATTTTATGGCTGGTTTCAACATTTCTGCACATTGTAGTTGAGACACTGTAACCCCGCAGTGAATCACCCCTTGGTTGCTCTTGCCTCACCAGTCTGGAGTCAGATTATTAAAGAAAACTTGTTTTGTTCCAGCAGAGTCTGGGTTGTGTCTGACTATTAGGACACTGATACCACGACCTCCACTAGGCATGTGTCTGCTTCATAGATCATAAATACTCACTTCTATCAGGTTGGGCTTTGACTCTTCTTTGTTGGAGAGGCATAGGTGGTTCTCTTGGTCCCAGTAACACTTCCACCTCGTGCTCAGGCAGCTCATGCATCTGACAAAATCAAAAATGAGGACACACAAACACATATAGAAGCAGGGTCAGCGGTTGCCAAATCTGGACCATTTTCCACTCCATTATTATCTCCCTATGATCCGTTCCCATGCAGAAGTTGAGTATGTGGCTCGCTGTGAGTCACTCAGAGCGCAACACAAACTCAGAGGCTGAACTGATTACAGGCATCAAAGAGCTTCAATAAAATGAAGTAATGATTAGTCGCAGCAGAGGACATAACGATTCTTCAGACAGGAAGGTCAAAATAGGCCAGATCAAACCCTCCGACTGTTAAATGATGATGCACGAGTCTGCATGCTGCCTCTTGTTTATGGACTTCCTAAAGCAGGATGGAGGTATTTTTTACACAACCTACACTGAGATATTTCAGAACATAAGGTTCGTCAGCAGGTCCTGAAGGGACAGGCATTGTGAAATGATGCTCTGTCGAATAGTTCTACCGTAGTCTTCGCAGTTTGACTTTCACGGACTCACTCTGTCGTGGGTAAGATTGTACACGACACACGAATGTCAACTTTAATATTACGTGATTGGGACGGTACGGGATAAAAAGTTAACAGGAGCGAACGGGAGTGGGAACCAACCAATAGGGAAAAATAAAAACCTTCGGACGGTCGCTGCCATTTTTTTAGTTTTCTTTCAATAAGCCTATAATGTAACACAAGTCAAAAGAACTACACGGCCCAGAAGCCAACAGTACTTCCGGCCGCTGCTTTATGCTGAAATTCAAAGAACAGCAATGGAGAGAGCAAACACTATCGGAGAAACCGATGTAGTAAAAGTAATTTTGCAACACTCAGTCAGAAGTAACGATGTATTTATTAAACTCATAGAACTGGCAGGAAAGTCACAAATAATCCTGAAGCTGAACTCATCCTTCAAGTTGTATCTTCACTCATATAAAATGTTGCAGTACTCTATGAGGTGCCGTTTGTAAAGTTACACAGTCAAAAATTAACAGCAACATTTTGGTTTATTTTTAGCCTTTCATAAGAAAAAAAGTTTTTTTTCAAAGTCATATTTTCACTGTTATTCAGGCATTTATAAATGTCATAGTTCCAAACTAAATATTTAGTTTACAGACTAAATATTGAACTTGCAAGTTAAATATTTAGTTTGTAAATTAAACATTTATTTTGGAAATTAAACGTTTAGCTTGGAAAATAAATATTTATGTTGAGCTAAATATTTAGCTAGCAAATTAAATATTTAGTTTAGGAATTAAATGTTTAGCTTAGAAATTACATATTTAGTTTTGAAAATAAATATTTAGCTTGGAAATTAAATATTAAATTTACACCTAAATATTTAGTTTACTAACTAAATATTTAACTTGCAAGTGAAATATTTAGTTTGTAAAGTAAACATTTAGTTTGTGAACTAAATATTTAGCTTGTAAATTAAATATTTAGTTGGGAACTATGACATTTATAAATGTATGAATAACATGGTGAAAATATGACTGAATAAAAAAAACTATTTCTTTTCTTATGAAAGGCTAAATAAACTAAAATATTGCTGTTAATTTTTGACTTTGTAACTTTACAAATGGCACCCCATAGTACTGTACAGTACATATATGTATGTGGTTAAAATTATGTAGGTTTATAACATTGTTAAGAACATTACAAGAGTGATGGAAGGGTTTATAAAGCCTTAATATATATATAATACTAAAATAAATATTGCATTCCTACTTCATGGATTTTCACCCATGTGTCTGGAACGTAACCCCCACGATAAATGAGGGACCACTGTAAATAGTTTGTACCTCAAAATGACCAAACTATCCCTTTACCATCTAAGAGTTCATGCTCACCTGAGTACAGCCTAACGAGGTAACTCTTATCTAAAAGTGTACAAAAACCTGACAAAGAGACGCTCAAATAGAACGTGTGAGTGAAGTGTGCATCACCAGATCGCCTCTGGGAAGAGACAGATGTCCCACACGAAGAAAGATAGTGCCTGGAGTGATAGCAACGCTCTGAGGGGGTCTCCAGATTAGGCGGAGGTGGGTGTAAGAGGATGCAGACGTGTAATTGAAACATGCGTGTGTTCTGATTAGAAGCAGACGGACCCCTCAAGGCTCTTATCATCTGCAGCTTCTCTTGTTTTTTTCTGATTCCATTCTCTGTCCCACTAACACACCTAAACCCCCACCTCCCACAGACACACATAAAAAAAGTTTGTATATGCATACTCTCTCTGCTCGGCTGAACTCTGACAGCAAATACCCTGCGAAACTGCCCAGCCCGAGTCCTTACGACCACTGACACACACACTAAACACACAGAGAGCCTGGCACTCTCAGGGCCTCTCAGTGGACACAGTGGTTAAACACACATCCTCAATCACGTCTCTGTCAAAGAGAAATACGACCAGGAGAAAAGGATCACTTTCAGTGGGGTGAGCGACACAAAACGGTTTGAAAGAGGGCAGCGGTTAGAGAGGACCGCGCCAGGCGAGAGACGACTTGAAACAAAGAATAAAAAGTGTTTGAGTCCAAAGAAGAAGAAGGCCGGTTGGATGTTTGTCTTTCTGGGCTGAGACTGGAGACTGGAATGCTATCGTCTGGTTGCCATTAACACTTTGCCCAGTGACCACTCTGAGTGTGTTGAAGGAGAACTGTCTAAACACAGCCTCAGACGAATACGTTCTCTGATTAGCTCTGTCTTATTATAAACAGAGAAACAACTTGTCGTTCTTCACAAACCAGTAAACAATATTCTGATCGCAGCTCGTTTTGAGCACGTTCGCCCTGATTTATTACACTTGGAACGTTATTAAAACACCCCAGCCGAACATCTTGCATCACACTTCGGTTTATTTCATGCACTATTGGTCATTTGCTGGACTCACCGATGGAAAAAGAAATACACATAAACAAAATAAAATCAAGGATAAACATGGAAGCAGTGGGGGCCAGAACATTTTGAATAGTTGTGAATATAACAAAAGAAGAATCTGGAATCTGTACTTGAGAAAAGAAAAACTGCCACTGTGCTAAAATTCACACCTATCATCTGTTCATTTAGTCTTAAATGTAATTTTTACACATTTATGTGCGCCTGCAGCAACAGTCGAATCACTTAGAATTTGATAATAAAGAGCAAATTCAGATGTGCATGCCCATTTAGGGACCAAATATGTAAAATTAATTCTGTCTTTTGCCTTTTGTCATCTACTAATATGGATTAAATTAATTAAATCGCCACCGCCTTTCATACAAGAGTTTTAGACTAAGATCATCATGTGTTGACAAATGACAACTTTGGAGTTGTTTTATTCAAACTTTGAATAAAACATAATATTCATTATGGTATTGTGCAATAGTGCATGATTTCATTGCTGTGAATGACTCTCTGCTACTAGCACATCAAATTTTAACTCAATATTTGTGAAACTGACAGAATTATTTCACCTTTTCTTTGAGCTCAGGTTTATCTGTGACAGCGTAAACTAGACTGACTCTAAAAGAAAAAAACTGACTTCAAATTAGACCTGTCACGATAACAAATTTTACTGGGTGAGTGTTTCAGAAATTATTGTGATAAACAATAATATTGTTTGAAATTTGACAATAATTTGTAATTATTGTAAAATTTAAGAAGAAATGTTGATTTTGTTTTGAGTGTAGAAACTTTATCGACTACCGGATGGCAGTATAAGACTGTTTGAACCGAAGGATGGATAGTGAGGGAGCGAGCAGCGTGTCTCTTTAAGAAAAATGGGAGGGAGGCCCCTTGACGTGACATGAGCTGTCTCTCCTTCCTTTCTTCAGTTCTCAAAATGGCGGACGCTCGGTGTGGTTTGAGCTCTTTAGCATCACATTTTTCACACAAAGCTTTTAATAAAAAATCAGTAAACAAGTTCTCAGCTTCTTTTTTCAGAGAAAAACAACTTTTTACACAAAGGCACGGGTTTCAACCGTGAACTTTGGAGCTTCGACAAAACGAAAGTTTTTTCCTCCGAGGTCAGCCTATTAGCTTAGCTCGTAGCTTAGCTTCTCAGTTTAGCTGCTTTTGACGATCCAAACACACGATTTTGGACGATTAAAACGGATTTTAAAGGTAAAAGAGAAGGGGGGGGGGGGGGGCTCAGTGAAGCGCACCAGAGTTGAGTCTTTTGTCATCCAGTGTCTTCAGTAGAAAGAGAGAGATGAAGAAACAATAAAGCAAATAAATGAAAATGAGGTCCATAATTTTCATTAATCATGCAATTAATTGATTTATTGTTTATTGTGACAGGCCTATTTTAAATATTAATGGCAAAAATATTAAACAACAATCTTGCGTAATTAGCGCTCAAAATATGTGTTGGGGAATAGTCTCAGAAAAATTACCGGTATAGGTCAATGTTTGCTAAAGTGACTGAACTGCTGAGGTTTTTCTGCTGTTTTATGCCTTAGCCTTATGGGGACTGGCCATAAAGATAAAATTCTTTGGGTATTTGTTTAAAAACCTGTCACAATCTCTGGTCAGTGTGAGACAATACAAACACATTGCTGTGACCAGCTGTTGGAATATCTTCAGTAAAATTTGAGTCTTTTTTTTACATCAAAAATTGAGTCTGAATTTATTTTTGCCTTGTTTTAACTAAATCTAGTGACGACTCAGTCATGTGAGGATGACTTTGATTGAAAACAAAGGCTTTCTTTATTCATAAAAGCGTCTCATTAAAAATAAATCATTTCCGTCTAATGAAAAATGCACCAAAGCCTGCCATTAGTCAGACATTAGTAAAACATCAAAGACATGTAGTCTATAACTAAAAGACATCTTTGTACTAAAAGAAAAATGCATGTCCCATTAGAAGACAATTTATTTTCTCCTCACCCTTCAATAAAACTTTGATTTATGCCTTTTTTTCCCTAAAGAACCAAACCAAATCTTTATTTTGATTGAGGGTGTAAGTGTTTTACTAAAGTCACAATAATCATTTTTTTAAAAACGGCATGAAGCCAATCTGATCACTGAATATATCAGGTCTGCAGTTTCCATCCTAATGCTCATCCTGTGAGAACGGCACTTTGCTCATTATCACCTTCGACAAACCGTCGTCTAATTTCACACTCCTGGACCTCACCGGGAGCCGAGGCCACGTGCACATATTGGACGCAGTCTTGCACGCAAGTACCTGCAGCCGCTTTGTTCACACCTCGAAACTGCTTTTAAAAAGTGAACAAAAGAGAGAAACCAAAACGCTTTTTCATCTCAGAGAATCAGTCAAACACACACGCTGGTGTTGATGGTGCTTTAAGTCTAAGATCTGCCCATCAGATGGAGCGAATCCTCCAACATGCAGCAGGAAGCCAGCTGGATTGCCTCCAGATATGAGAAAACCTTCTTTGTGACCAGGCCATACAAGTCACAGTCCTTCACAAAAAACAAACAAGGGCATGATCAAACACACATACATATCTAATTTCCTTTGGCTTAACGTTTACAGCATATTAATCCAACATTTGATCCTGCACTGAGAAACCCGGAGCAAGCCAAACACACAAAAAGCCCTCCAAGAGGACATGTTGGCTGTGTTTCCCCAGCGTGGCTGAAATAGAAAGCATTTGATGAAGAGACTGGGGACACAGAAGAGACAAACAGAGGAGAAGCTGTGCTTTGCCTTCTCCGTCCAGCTGTGTGTTCAGATCTAAAATGTCACAAAGGACAATGGCTGGTATTTTGGTTAAGGTTTACTGTTTAGAGACTGCTTCAAGTGCAGTTTGTTGGTATTTAGTCTCCTTTAAGAAGGTTTGTTTGAAGGGACTTATTATAAAGCTGGTTGTTAGGGGCTGAAGGTTTTGGGGGACCAGATTAGAAGTAATTGGAAGGCAAAACCAAAATGGAAATATAGACTTTTGGAAAAGTGCAATCAATTATTAGTAAAGTGTTGATTGACACATCTACCCATTTGTCCATTTTCTATACTGACTTGTTTCTGTTCGGGGTCATATGGAGCTGGTGTCTTCAGCAATCAATGAGCGGTGGAAGATGGGGTACACCAGACAAACAACACCTACAGGGACAATTTAGTCTCCAATTAACCCAACCTGGATGTTCTCAGAGAAAATCCATACAAGATCATGCAAACTCCACCCAGAAGAAGCCCTAGGCAGTTTCAAACCTGTGAGGTGACAGTCCTAACCAACTGAGCCATTCAGAGTAATCAGAGTATTACCAGTCTAACTGTGTTTTATTCTTCCATCTGATAGGCACAGCTTGTATTATCCAGCACAATGTATTATTATAACCAGAGGAGGACCAGAAGACAAAAGGTGAATCCACAAAAAACGAGTCCCCGATTGAGAATGTGCCAACTTGTTAGTGAGTTGCAAGGATGTGTATGAAGTACGGATGTCCTGATACTAGTTTTTTTCAGACTGAGTACAAGTAAACGTACTTCAGTTTTGGTAATTGCTGATACTAAGTACAGATTAGTTATCGAGTTAGTACTTAAACATTGCACTATGACTTTAAAAGCACATTTCTTTTATTAACACTGCACACAGTATGACTCTTAACTGCATCTGTGTTTATCTTAAAATATCTCCAAACTATGGTATTTTTTAAATTTTTATCTTTGGTTACTAGTGGAAGAGGACATGACATCATTAAGCATAAAAGTGTATTGGTTTGAAGTATCTGTATGTTTTTATGAGTACAAGTATGAGTACTTGAGGCAGACATCAGGCCCAGTACCAGTAGCAGGAATGACTTTCTTATCTGTGGTTCAGCCCCATGTATCTAGTGCACAGATGTTGCTCCAGATATTCAATATGGCGGCACTTCAAACTACAAACATGTTGGCTTCAGTTTAGAACAGATCAAGGCAGAGATGCTTCGTCCATTTCTATTTTAACATAAACAGTAGAGCAGTTTGTTTTGCAAAGGTTTATCCTGTAAAAAAACTGGTCAGTTGGAACAATAACTCAGATTAGGCAGCACATAGTGGTTAATCCTTTTGCCTCACAGCTGCAAGGTTCTGGGTTTGGTCCCCGGTTTGGACCCAGGACCTTTCAGTGTGGAGTTTGCATGTTCTTCTCATGTTTGAGTGGATTTTCCTCCAATAGTCCAAAAAGATGCATGTTTGGGCTGCCGTGAGGCCCAGGCCTCTCTTGCAACATATATTTGGGAACTCTTTAGTATTTACCTGGTTAAATAAAGGTTCAGTTAAGAGACCTTTCATGGTGGAGGCCATTTTTTGGCAAAATTGCCAATCACTACTTCGATACAATAAACAGATTTAATTTTTAAAAGTAGCTAGTTTTTCACAGAAATCACTGTCCTTACCCTTAAAAGTATCAAACTGTCTGAGTATGTTTTCCACCACTGCTTCCTCTTTGTAAAAATCTGGATTTAAAGCTAAACAATGACACTTGGCACTGTCCAAGCATCGTGAACTCTAAGACGTATTCAAAGGTGAGACTTACGGTGTCTTTGGGTGTATTGCTCCAGTCCTCTCGCAGTCGTAGATGATGAAGTTCCCAGATACAACAGACGTGCCGTTAACTTTGATCGCCACAGAAACAGTCAGGTGATCTGCAGAAACAAAGGTTGGTGAACTGAGCGCTACATGTGTTGAGCTCAGGAGCATTTGGAGATGATATCGCCGTCATGAGACAAAGTAGACAGCAGTGCTGCTCTGCTGCTACTGAGTATGCTGCGTTATGAGACACAACAGAGGAAATTACATTTGTTCTGTTAAAAAATACAAAAGCACGAGTGGAAAAATGTCTAAGTAATGGACAACTGTCTGCTCGTCTCACCTTTGCCTGGAGGAATGGGTTGGTAGTTTTCTCGAGGTAGTGAGGGACACGTTTGAATTTGAGCGGGACCATAATCCAGGTGTAACGTGGCAGCAGTAGAAACCCCGGGCCAGTACTCACACTCCACCCGTGAGCCTATCAGATCGGGAACGCTGCCGTTTATCAGGATGCCAACATCCTACGACAAAAAAAAAAACCCAAAACTGATACATAAAGCTGCTCAAATTAACGGAACAAAACAATTAGATTTTGAATTTGTCATGTTCACAAATGTGTATTCTGATTTAGTTATTGTACACGTGATTGAGAGGGCGAAGGAGGTTGGCGTTGCTTCAAGATTGCTCATGAGTTCAGGCAGAAAAACAGGAACTTACTGTGTAATGAAGAAACAGACGGCAGCGAGCTACTTTCACATTTAAATCTGGGTACGTGACAAGGTACACCAGACGTTTAATGAGAAACATAACACCTCACTGACATGTCTGATTTTTTTGACTAAATTATACCGATGTGAGAAAATAAAACCAGGCGGGGTTGTGCGATGTGTGTGTGTTGGGGGGGGGGGGGGGGGATGAGGAACGGGGAAGATATTCTGTGCCTCAGCAGGTAGGAGCTGAGGTGGACTGCAACATGTGCTGACAGGCCATAATTTTTTTTTACTCTATTGTTCGTTGGAATCGATCATTTCCTGGCAAAGGCCCCGACTTCCCGCCTGCTGCTTCCTGTTTGGGGAGACAACCTTGAGCCAAGCTTCCTGTCTGTGAATCAGGGCAGCTGGTGAAGCCATTACAGTCCACTGAGGACTGATCTTCATAACAAGCAAATATTCACGATTAATGAACCAATTAATGACCTGTCGTCCCCGGCCTCCATCAAATTACCATCTGTAATTAAAGGTCAACTATATTCCATGTGGCAAAGATCACTGATCCAATCATGCCATTGTTATCTCTCCGTTACATGATTCTTCAACCAGAAGGGATTATTGAAAACAACAGTTTGCATGTCAGAACCACTCAGGCACCTTTCTGAACCCAGATATATTATCCTGCCAAGGCTGATTAAATCAGAATGGTGGTCAAAGAAAACCTGACATTATCATAATAAACACCTGCAAAAATGAAAGGGAAGGAGGCAAAACGGGAAAGCGAGACTTAAAAATCAACGTCAGAAAAGCAGCAAGGTCTTGTTTTTATGTCTCTTTTGTTGTGGTGCAGTAAAAAGTTGAAGTAAAACTTAAAGTTGACCGTGCACTGTTCATTAGCAGAACAGAAACCGGAGTAAAGCTGACGGAAATTATGTACAAGGGTGCTTTTACTCAAAAGTTATAAAATTGATACAGCAAAAGACAAAGCATTCTTTCAAAGAGTGCATATCTGTAGGCACTTCTAGAGTTTTAAACTGAGAGCATGTGCAGACGAGAAACACCGGAGTTAAATCGTTGTGTTAAAACCTTGTAAATGATGTAATGTAGGGCCTCAAGTTAAATGATGAAATCCCATAATAAGTGTTAGTGCTCATGTGTTGAAGATGATGCTCAGCCACTAGCACACCAAATTTTAGTGCAATATCTGTAAAATGTAGTTATTCTAAGGTCAGATGTATGTGGCAGCCATTTTGAATTTAATTGGTCCCAAAAATAAATCAGTTGTGAATGGACATCCTGTGATTCTGTTCCGGGCGTTTCCTCAACATCAATCTGGTGGTTCATGTGATATTTTGCTAACACACACACACCTCTGCAATCTCATATCTTGGCGTACAAAAAAAAGGTTTGTATGCTCATTCATCCAGGTAGATAACAACAAAAAGGTTAAATCATGTCATCTGCACTACCTTTAGCTTCTCCTCTGCCACTTCACCACTTGCCCTTCTACTAACACGATCCTTCTGCTACCCCTTGACCCTGGACCTACCTGCCTGGAATCCTTTGCTCTCCTCTTAACCCCATGAATCCTCCTATACCAAGGAATAGAAAACCTGTTCATTACCAGCCATTCCCTTCCAGAAGTCATCCTTACTCTCTTCCTCCTTCCCCAGGTTCCCCTGTATGTACATATATGCATGGCTTAATTTGAGCCAGCTCCTCCCGAACCAGAGTCTGGGAACTCTCTTATTTTAACAGGGTGCATTCCAGTAACTGTTTGCTTGGATCCGGTAACTCTCAGACTTACTAATAATAAAGATATGAACAAATATGACTGCCTTGAATGAATAAAACTTATATTGGATATGTAAACTGAAAATAATTACGTAAACACTAATTTTAAACACCACAGTCACTTACGAGCATACGAGCTGCCCCTTCAAGTAACATTTCAGCATCTACTCCTAAAATAATCTCCACCCCTAAACAAGTGGTGGCGGTGAATGCCGAGCTAACCAGAGGCTAACCAGCTAACCTACAAATGGAGGTAAACATAGAAGTTTAACAACCCGTTAAAATACACCAAAATGCATGAAATCGCATCTACTTTATTTTTAAAAATCTGGTGGAGGACCCCCAGACCCCCTCGCCCCCCACCCACTACTTGCGTTCCGGCATCGATCAGTTTACAAATAAAGCCCTGCACATATGTATATGATCCCACACTGTAAATAAAATCACTTATATTATTTAAAGAGCATGAGTCGAGCACGAGACTTCCGGTAAGATGGTGCCCGTGTGCATGGCTTGCAATCCACCTCTGCTGATGGTGTTCGGATTATTTCTGTTTTGTTCGTTTTTTATCTGTGGCATAAATTCACTCCTCATGTATGACCGACAACAGCTTCTGGATCTTCGTTTTTCTGTCACTGATGTCGCTTATTTGGACCATTATCAGCGTATCTCTGGACCCCCCCTCCTCCCCCCCTGCTGGCAGACGTGCCAGTTTACCTCCGCAGGGCTCCTCACCTCCATGCCCGGAGATATCGCTTCAGACGCCAGGGAAAACGTGCTGGTCAGCTGGTGAAGCTCAAAGCCCTGCGCACTGCATCTTCCTCTTCAGTCGGTGGTCATGGTCTCCATCGCCAGCTTCCTGTGTGCCCGGACCAGGTAACCAACGGGAGTTGTCGGCCGGTGCACCGCTCGGACCGACCTGGAGGGGCTGTTATTGAAAACCTGTGGCCATTAGCGCGCTAACTCCACCGCTGCTGGCTCCACTTTGGACAGTATCCGGATGTGTTTGGTCAACGCAAGATCTGTTACCAACAAAACTTTTATCCTCAGGGATTACTTTCAAGAGCACGGGTTAGACTTTTTCTGCATCACAGAGACTTGGATGTCTCCAGGTGAGTCCAGCGCCTTGACGGAATTACTGCCACCGAACTGTTTGTACTTTAACGCACCGCGGCCATCTGGCCGGTGCGGTCGTGGATTATTAACAATATTCAAATCAACTTTTGACTGTAAACAACTGCCCATCCCAGTTTCCCGCGCCAGCTTTGAGTTGAGCGTCTTTGAACTCGGACATTCACTTCAGATTTTATTTGCACTTGTCTACCGCCCACCTCGATCTAAGGATTTCATAAATTAGTTTTCTGACTTCTTGGCTGAAATCACACCAAAATATGAGCATGTTTTCATTATTGGGGACTTTAATTTGCACGTGTGCTGTCCTGAGAAGCCCTTGGTTAAGGACTTTTTGGATTTATTGGACTCATTTAATTTAACTCAGCATGTAAACAGTCCCACCCAAGAGCGCGGACATACACTGGACCTTGTTTTAACTCATGATGTGTCTGTTAGTAATCTTGTTATTGGTAATAATGTTTTTTCAGACCACATGCCAGTCCAGTTTGAGTTCACCCTCCCCCATCTAACTCCTAAGTCGTGCATTTGTGAACGTAGCACCCGGGCAATTAACCATTTCACTGCTGCACGTTTCACAGATGCTTATAACTCTGAAATGATAATTCAGCCCCCGGTGTTTCTCCCCACCACTGAAGAGCTGACATCCCAGTTCAACTCTGTCTGCTTAAAGACTCTGGAACGAAAGTGGAGGAAAGACAGGCTGCAGGTCTCTTTTCAAATAATTAAAGAGAGTTGAGGCCGTTATCAGAAAACAGTAAAAGCTGCAAAATCCAAATACTTCTCTGATATAATTACCTCAAACTCTCGCAACCCACGTGTCCTCTTCTCCACCCTAAACTCTGTTCTCCACCTCACTGAACCATCACCTCTGGAAGCCTTGACTGAGCTGTGCGACAACTTCTTACATTTCTTTTTGGAAAAAATTGCGACCACTAGGGCTCTCAATTCCCCTCCAACTCATGACCCATCCATCCCACCTCAATCTATATCTCTATTTGACCATTTTGAACCCATCACTCTATCTTCTCTAGAGCAGGTCATGTGCAGCTTGAAACCTTCTGGTTCCCCCTTTGATGTGGTCCCCCCTCGACTACTAAAGGAGGTTTTTCCCACTCTAGGTCCGTTCATTCTTGCCATAGTAAACAGTAGTTTATCCACTGGCGTGGTGCCAAAATCCTTTAAACATGCTGCTGTCCAGCCTCTCCTGAATAAAACAAACCTTGACCCCTCAGTCGTGTCCAACTTCCGGCCTGTCTCCAAACTCCCATTTGTTTCTAAAGTACTGGAGAAAATAGTCGAGTCCCAGTTGAAGTGCTTCCTGGAAGGTCACACCATCTTAGAGCTATTCCAGTCTGGCTTTAAACCTCTCCACAGCACTGAAACTGCCCTGCTGAAGGTCTTTAACGACATCTTCAGACCCACGGATACTGGTGATTCTGTGCTGCTTGTCCTATTGGACCTCAAGGCCGCCTTCGACACCATCGACCATGAGATCCTCGTTGCTAGGTTAGAGCAGTGGGTGGGCGTCACAGGATCAGCCCTCAATTGGTTCAGATCCTACGTCACTGACAGATCCTTTTGTGTCTCCATCAAGGATTTTAGTTCCGCAGAGGCAGAGCTTAAATGGGGGGTTCCGCAGGGGTCCATCCTGGGTCCCCTCCTATTCTCTTTATACCTGCTGCCGCTTGGTGCTATTTTCCGGAAACACAACATGCCCTTCCACTTCTATGCCGATGACTGTCAAATTTACTTCCCCCTAAGACACAATGGTACATGCTCGATTCAACCGCTGCTCGACTGCCTGGCTGACATCAGGGACTGGATGGCTTTAAACTTCTTAATTTTCAATGAAAAGAAGTCTGAAGTCATGTTGTTCCCTCCCAATGACACGATCACAAACCACTGCATCGACCTTTCCGCTCTAACCCTGTCAGAAAAACAAAGAGTCACTAATCTGGGAGTGATAATGGACCCTTCCCTGAAACTTAACAATCATGTAAACATGATTGTTAAATCATGTTTCTTCCAACTGAGGTGGCTGTTTAAACTGAAGCCCATATTGTCCAAAAATAACCTGGCGACAGTAATACATGGATTCATTACATCTAGGCTTGATTACTGCAATTCACTTCTGTTTGGTATCAGTCAGACCTCCATTGCACGACTACAACTGGTCCAGAATGCAGCAGCCCGATTTTTAACCAGTACAGGCAAAAGAGAGCACATTATACCAGTTTTGGCCTCACTGCACTGGTTACCGGTTCACTTTCGAATCCAGTTCAAAATACTCATGTATGTCTACAAATCACTGAACAGTCCCCCCCCCCCCATCTCTCTGATCTGCTACAACCGTATGTCCCACCACGTTCCCTGAGGTCAGCGGACCAGTTGCTCCTCACAATTCCAGTAACTCGTCTTAAGCGCCGAGGTGACAGGGCCTTCTCTGTAGCAGGACCAAGACTTTGGAACGAGTTACCTCTGCTTGTCAGACAGGCCCCCTCCCTCTTGGTTTTCAAGTCCCGTTTAAAAACTCACTACTATTCAGTATCTTTCAACACCAGATGATCTGTGTTTTGATCCTGTACGCTCCACTCTAGTTTGTCGTCATTATCTGCATCGTTTTTATGTCTATATTTCTGATTTACTTCATTTTGTATTGTGCTTTGTGTGTTACCTGTTGTTTTGTCTGTACAGCACTTTGGTTGGCTTTGTAGCTGTTTTAAGTGCTTTATAAATAAAGTGGTATGGTATGGTATGAGTCTGTTTACATCAGTGCTACTGTGATAGGCAGGAACATTATTGCTTTTAACTTTTGACTGCAGATAAAAATTAAAGAAACGTAACCTAACTACAGTATTACTTTTCATTAGACATAGAGTTTATTTATTAAACAATGTGTTGTCATACCTAAACATAATAATTATTGTCTGAAGGCAAATAAAATCTACTGTGAATTTTAAATTCACAAACTAATAACAAACCCTAATCTGTTTTCCTCTAGTATCAGTAAATGCCATGCACACATTTGCTGATGACTAAGTTTAGTGGTAAGGCACATGACAAATGTATTCCTTTTTTGTAGCTCAAAATAGCCCAGAGCACACACATTGTCAGACACACACACACACAAATCAAGCAGCTTTCGATTGCATGCTGACAAGTGGAGAACAAAAGAAGACGTGTCAGACTTAAAAGAAAAACTTATCTGAAATTCATGTCTTTAAGAAACAGGAAAAATCCAAATATCTGAAACACAACTTAAAAAAACGCATCGTTGTTCAGCTGATCATCTCTTGTGCTTCCAGTTTTCAGCTGATAGCTCCTTGGGAACCACCATGTTGGTACTAAAATACTAGTCTGTGCTCTTTTTCAAAGGTCTGTGCTACAAGATATTTTAATGTCAATGTTGGTTTTTTTAATATATATAGCACATAAAAACCAGAAAAGTTGACCAAAGTGCTTTACAATTTAGTCAAACTAAAATGAAAACAAGAAAGAACAAGAAAATACATCTTGTGTGACAGTAGAAGCACAAGAATAAAATACAACAGACAAGAAAAATCAGCTCTAACTGGTTCTTAAACTCAGCGTGGATCAGACGACAGGGAAAAAGATGAGTCTTGAACAAAGATTTAAAGTCTCAACAGTCTGAGTGGTCTTTAAATGATCAGGTAAACTGTTCCCCAGTTTTGGAGCAGCAACCACAAAAGCCCGATCACCTCTGGACTTCAGTTTGGATCTGAGGACTTCTAAAAGGAACTGTTTGATTGACTGGAGTGCTCTTACTGGAGTGTAGATGTTAAGAAGATCACATAAATATGACAGGGCCAACCCTTTTAAGACTTTAAAAAGAAGCAATAAAATCTTAAAATCAATCCAGAAGTGGACAGGAAGCCAGGGGAGAGAAGCCAGGGTGGGGGTTATGTGTTCGTGTTTTCCAGTTGCTGTTAGAAGACGAGCTGCTGCGTTCTGGACGGTTTGTAAGAGATGTAAAGATGATTTATCTAAACCCACAAACAAAGCATTACAATAGTCCAAACGAGACGTAATAAAAACATAAAACCTTTTCAAGGACTCTGAAAGAGAGACTAGACTTCACCTTGGCAATGAGTCTTAGTTGGAAGAAACTGCATTTATCCGTTTGTCTAATTTAAAAGCACTATCAGAATCAGAAAGAACATAAAGGGAAGTATTAGCTTTAATTACAGATTGTATTGAAAAACCTGAGCGGGAGTCCTTCAAATATATGGTTCAAATTTCAAAGGGTCAAAAGCAGTTGCACACCTGGCTGCTTCCTGCCTTCTGGGCAGCTGAGCGTCATTTATGACAAATAAAGTCTCACATCTCGTGCAGAACTGAGACTCGCTGGTAATTCTTTATTATCTGGATGTCTGAAAACCTCTCTAAGAAATCTTCAGTCAATCCAAAGTGATGCTTTTTTTTTTTTTGCTCTCTGTCTGTGTATCAGAGCTCCTGTTGCACATCTTCTGAAACGAAAACTACTGTCATGGATCTGGTCAGCTGGACTTTCAACACAATCAACAAAATCTTTTCAACAAAGCAACAGGGTCCTGGAGAGCCCTCATGCCCTGCTGAGACTCACATGGCAGGATAGGTCATGGATCTGTGGGGAGTTTGGGAGCTGATGTGTCTTTCTGTTTTGTCTCAGGAGGAAGTGGAAGATGTTTATATCATTGGAATCATGATAGCAGGGTTTCTGCTGTTTGGCATCAGCAGATTCCTATGTTATTGGCTATTAAGGAAGACGGCGGCAGCAATTTTGGCCATGGCAAAACTGCCAAGTTTGTGGGAAGGTTTGGTTCGTGCTTCAAGTACTCAAAATCAGCTGATTTACGAGCTAAACCGTAAGATGGAAGCGATTTGTGGCCTTGAAGCAGGCTGACTTATCAAATTTCTCCTGGGACATGTGTAAACTAAGGAAAAGCTTCCTCTATTGCAACCCCCTCCCCCTTGAGAACTTCTGTGAAGGCTTATCAGAACTGTGCCAGCTGACACCAACATCTTATCAGTACTATGGACTATCTGGAAGTGCTTCATGGACAAATCTCACCGTCTTGTCGTCCAATACATATGTAATGTGTTTATAAATGTGTTTGCTGGCAGAGTTTTTTGATGTCTTAAATCATGTCCTGATGGGACAAGGTGTGAAGAGATCTTTTTTGTAATGTCACTATCCATCCTCATGGATTTTTACACTTTTCTAGCTAAAAGAAGTAATCTGAAAAAGGATAAGAGGCCACACTATCATAGCAGCAGTTACGTGCACTCCGTCCATATTTCAGAGACTGTACGAACATAATTTCACTGTATTTCAGTACAAAGATAAAACTTATTCTGATTCTGATGCTGCCAGAGTTTTAGGAGGAGAACTCGCATTTTTAGCTTCTCTCCATTTGCTATCTGTCACATTCAAAAAGGAAACAAAACTCTCAACGACGTAGCTCCTTCTTATAATAAAGATTAAATATATTAGGATTTGTTGCAATCTGCTGGCTTACCTAAACAACTTCTACTAATAGGCATTTCATATTGTACTGTATGTGAATGATGTACATTGTTTCTAAATGAATCAAACTGACTTTAATTGGATTTAAATCTCACTTGAACGGACTTGTTGCTTTTGTTGTATGGCATCCTGAGATGATTTTTGTTGTGAACCAGCGCTAAAAAAAATAAACTGAACTGAATTAAACTGATGTGCAATGAGAGCGGTGACACTGAATAAAGACAGCCTCGTCCCAGTCCTGAAGCCAAACAAACAGATGAACTAAAAATGTACTCATCCAGACAGTGGTGGGGGTGGATGGGGGGGTGCTGCAGCATCAAACAGCAGTGGCTTGATCTTATCAGCTGAGTTTTATTAATAGGCTGGGCAGTAACAGAGGGAGGTGTCAGATTATAAATGCGTCTGAGAAATCAGCTTTAAATACAGTGACCCCATTGCTGCCATAGCTTCTATAAAGATCAGCAGCCATGTCCGTGTGGCTTGTTGAAAAGGTCACAGCAACAGCAGCGTGCGGAGAATTAATGGTACCTTGATGTCGGCAGAGATGCTGATCTCCGGAGGTGTCAGGGTGATGGAGGGACACTGCTGGGGACCTTCGCCCACAGTGATCCAGGAGCGAGCCAGCAGCCCTCGAACACATTCCTTCTGGATGGTACATCTGGACCAAAAGAAAACACAAAACCTGATTTGTATGAGGACTGAGACAAAGAGACCTGCAGTAATGAGCATTTGCACAACTCTGCTCCCCTTTGACGTTACAATCATATGAAATAATTGCTGTCATTGTTACAGCTGGTGGTGCACGTGTGAACGCCGAGCTTTACGGCCATCGGTTCATCCGTTGTGAGGAGAGCACAAACTTTTCAGTTTCCATTTCACTCCAGGACTTGACAAAGTCTCACCGCTGGGATTCACGGTCTGCTTCCCTCTGAGTTATGAAGTGTTCTAGTCTCCTAATGTCACAGTCAGACCTTGGCTGACAGTTTGCCTGGCTCGATTCGGGAGACTTGACTCTAGGTCGCACGTATTGCTATGGTAACCCACCCCAAAGGCACCCAGATCAGAGGCCGGTTACAGATATCTGAATAACAAAACTACCGGAGAGGTTTTTAATCCACACGGGCCAACAGTCCATCCATGAATGTGTGTGTTTGTTTGCTTGAACACAAATAAAGCATGTGTGTGTGTGTGTGTAAATCTGTGAATATGATGAACATCTGGAACAGAGGGATTGGTAAAGGGCATTCAACAAGCAAGGTGGCCTCACACTGACTTGTGTTTCTCTAATGAACTTGGCTGTTGGCACAGAGCTCATCTGCAGCGCAGACTGGAAGGACAAAGTGACCTCAGAGGGAAGAAGGAACCACAGAGGAACCATTTCTTGTCGTCCTTACACGACACATAATGAGTTTGGCACGGCCCACTTTCCTTTCACACTCTGGTAGTTGTTTTTCAAGTAAAGTGTGTGGCCATGTGCCTGCCCGCCTATAAGTGTGAGGATTTGTGTGTAAGGAAAGTAGACGTCCCTCCAGCACTTACTAAGAACCATGAGGTCTGCAACCAGGACAAAAATACAAAAAACGGTCTTTAAGCGATGGAACAAAACAACCGAACACAAACAAACTCATAAACTGAACGCACTCTGGGCAGTCCCGTTAAATGGATTTAAATAGACAGTTTGATTATTTATTCCTCTTTAGTTTTTGACTTCCTTCCTGTTGTGCAAACAAATATTTGTTTAATTTTAGAATGACTGCTATTTTAGTGGAGCTGTTAACAAAATATCTGGGTTTCAAGGCAGCCGTGCCAAAACAATGTTCTGTTACTAATAAAACCCCACTGACAGGATAAAATATCATAACTGTTGGATAATTTGGCACAACTGTGACATTTGCACTGCCAGGAAATTAATCTAAAAATCTTGGTTCAAGATCATGTTGATGTGAGCTACAGAAAAAAACAGCCTCTTTAAGAGTGATTAAAAAAAAATCAAATTTTTAGGAACGTTCATGCTCAATAATCCAGGTAGAAAATCCAACAAAGTTCAGTCAGGCACCTGGATGGTTTCTTTTTTTGTTGAGACATTTTGTCCTTCATCCAAAGGATTTAGGACATAGTGGACATAGGTCCACTATGTGAGTGTGCTGCTTGTATGACTCAGTTTGTTGTGGCTCCTCGGACTGATGACGTCCTTTAGATGAAGGACGAAACGTCTCAACAAAAAAAGAAACCGTCCGGATGACTTGACTGAACATTGTTGGACACATTTTTATGGTTTTCTTGTTGAAAGGCAAAGGTGAGTCTGCTATCAAGATATCGGTACCACTTTACAATAAAGCTCCCCTTATAGATGCTAATAAATAGTTTATAGATATGTTATTAATTCCTCTATAAATGCTTTATAAATCATTAACAACTGATTATTATGCATTAATTAAGGGTGACAGAGACAAAACTGACCAGTTTCTTGTCAAATAGTGAACCAAATCTGTTCACCTATATATTTCATCTAGAGTTGTTATGTTAAACATTTCAAACTAAGTTACTACCATGTTCATTCAACATGTATTTATAAAAGCTCGCCTCATTGAGCCGCAAGGACTCATTTACAAGAGAGATCTGTTCCAGACAAAACATATAAAGTACAGACAACTATAACAGTAAAGTTGTATTGTTAGCACAATAAGCATTTGTAAACCTATTTCTTTAGCATAGAATATTATATTTTATCACTGCATTATAAGTATCTACAACTAATATTATGCCCTAAAAAAATAGGTTTACAAATGCTTATTGTACTTATAAGGTAGTAATTTAGTTTGAAATGTTTATAATAACAACTCTAAATGAAATAAACAGATTTGTCTCACTATTTGGCAAGAAACTGGTCAGTTTTGTCTCTGTCACCCTTAATTAATGCATAATAAACAATTATTAATGATTTATAAAGTGTTTATAGAGGAATTAATAACATATCTATAAACTAATTTTTAGCCATCTATAAGGGCCCTTATTGTAAAGTGGTACCAATATATCTCATGAATCATAGAACTTTTTTTTTTTAAACTAGCAGAAGGTTATCATTGGATGGTCACCTACAACTGATTAACTTTTGGCGTCAACCTGATTCAAGATGGCTGCCAAATCCACCTGGCCTTAAAAACAGAAAAGTGCCTCTAACTACAGTCAAGTCTACAGATCTAGAGCTAAAACAGATCTCTCTTTAAAATGAGTCTTCGTGACTCAGTGAGACTAATCTGTATAAATAAAGGTTGAATTAATAAAATATTAACGTGGCAGTAACTGAGAGTTATTACCAGCTTATACTCTGTACACTCTGAGCGTGACATCTGATATCTCATGGCACCGTGTAACAATAATGTCAGGGATGAATTAGAGTCGTGGATAAAGCTGTGAGCGATTGTGTTGTAGAGGTTAGTAAAACAGCATTCACATAGACCGCACAGAAAGTTTTGAGATTGGACTTGTTTGAAAACAAAAGCAATCCACTTTAGTTTTAGCCCTGCCCAGACTAGCTGTGAGCTCTTCGATCTGGTCTCCAAAAGTAGGTCATTCAAGGAGTTATCTGCAACAGGTAAGATGTTAATTGTTAGACAAAATATTTTTTTACAGAAATCCTCTTAAAAAATTCTGAACTTTAAACTTATTTATTGATGCATGATTATATTTGAGTTGTTGGCTAAAATAAAATGGTTAACAGGGAGGTGTGGTACGTAGCTCAGTGGTCAGTGCTGTGGTCTCATAATACTGAGGCTGGAGGTTTGTGCCCACGTTATGTCATCCGGCATAAAACAAATATTTTATGCGAGTTCGCTCACTGAGGTGACCCCTGCAGGAGGGAGTAGCCGAAAGAAAAATAAGTAAAAAATAATTACATGCTTCGACGCAAAAAGTATTTAATTTTAAGCAGGCTGTCGTCCTCTGTGAGGCGCTCTGTTTGAACTTGTTTTCCTCCTCAGAAAGACTCTGACTGGTCTGTCAGTTTGTCAATAATGTGTGTTGTTTGAAGCATGTCCAACAAACATCAAGCCAGAATCATGCAAACATGTGCAACAAAGTTCAGTCAGGTCATCTGGATGGTTTCTTTAATTTTTTTTAGATTTTTTGTCCTTCATCGAAAGGACTTTGTCAGTCCGAGGAGCCTCAGCAAACTCAGTCCTACATTCAGCACACTCACATAGTGAGCTAACCAGTTTGCTGGTAATAAGATGGTTTCTGGAGTCCGCCCTTTCCCCCGTCAATTCCTCTGAGGCAGTCAAGGCCAAAGTTGTTCAAAACATCCAAGACACTGAGCATGAACTTTGATGTTTTGAACCACTTGGGCCATGGCTGTTTACCATCTTATCACAGGCAAACTGGTTAGTCCACTATGTGAGTGTGCTGCTTGTGGGACTGAGTTTGTTGTGGCTCCTCGGACTGATGAAGTCCTTTGGATTAATGCTGAAATGTCTCGACAAAAAAAAAAAAAAAAAAAAAAAGAATCAGTCTAGATGACCTGACTGAACTTTGTTGGATTTTTTTAACCTGGATTATTGAGCATGAACTTTGATGTATGTACTTAATGAAAAAAGGTTAAAAAATAATTTTCTGCATCCATCTTTACTTCACCTGCTCTGCAACAGATGACTTCTTTTCTTGTCATTTGATGCACACTTAAACTTCTTTCAACAGACTCACATCTACAGCCAACTAATAACCCAACGGTGTCTGTTTTAAGAGGAGGAATCTAACCTAAAGCCTGAAGGAAAACCAGAAAGTCCACATACAACTCATGGAAACTTGACAAAGAAAGTCCAAGAGCCTTCCTGTTGTGTCAGGACTGTGACAGTCTTCCTTGTTTCCATCTGGCAGAATCTATTTGGTTTAACCAGTAAAGTCCAGATTTTATCATTTGAGCACTGAATACCTCCTAATTGGTGGAAACTCGAAGCAGGCATCCAGGAAATTTCATTGCCTCTAAAAAAAAAAAGATCCAAACAAAAACCAAACAAACAAAAAAGACAGGCCCTCTTGCATGAACGCCAACTAACAGTGAGAGTACGGAAACATCAAGGACGCACACACCAACTCGCGCACATCTGGTGTTTAAAAAAAACCCAACAACTAAATCTTAAAACGTATTCATATCTTGTCTGCTAATTCAAACAGCGATTTCCTCAAAACGCTGCACTGTGGAGAAATTAATTCCAAGTACTTCCTGTCTCTCCGAAACACTAATTCACATGCAGCGACAAATAAATAAATAAATAAATACAGTTTATGCACACAAACACATCTACTTCTCTGCCTCTCTGCACTCGAGCTATCCAAAGAGCTCCTTAAAATAAACAGAGTCAATGCACGCAGCTAAAATATGACCTGTGAAGTCTCATCGCCCCCCCACCCAAGTGTGCGATGAGGTGCAGCCGGCGAGGCTGTTAAACAGCAGCACAACATATGAGCCTCCAAAGTGCTCCTGCTGACACAAACACACGCAAAGTCCCTGTGAGATAAGGACGTGCAGATAAGCGTGATCACTTGTGAACAGCGAAGACGGTGTGTCATGCATGATTTGATCCAAATGAAGATATTTAAGGGCTTTCTTGTGACATGTGGCAGATTAAGCCGTCGCCAGCATGAAAAGGAGTGATCAAGGAGCGAGTTTTATCTCCGCCGGAGAAACCAGCTCTCTCTTTCTGACAACAATGCATTCTCCAACAAGTGAACAGACATGTTTTCGTGCTCTTCCCTACACGCCGACATGCTGAGAGACGTCAGAGCCGTGCATAAAATCAAAAAGGCCCCCACAGAGTCCCGGGCGGCTTCACAGATTGTGAGATCTGCTGCTTCTTTTTTTTAAAAATAATTTTCTTCCTCCATTCACAGTTGTCTGTAGTTGTCCACCCACCCTCTCTGATCCCCGAGGCCCTGAACTACAGCGCCAGCCTAGCGGCCGGCAGGCCCGACCAAACAGCGCATCAAACACACGCAAACACTCATGACATCAGCTCCCAGGCCTCCGAGAGCCAGAGAGCGACACACACACACACACACTCATGCTGATGCTTGCACGCAGGCTTATACACTTTGACATTTTCCCGTAAAAAGAACCAGTGTGCTCTCTCTCTCCCTCCCACCACCATCATCACAATCAACGCTCCTTTGTAGAGGGATGGAGATGGGGACAAGGGCACTGGGGGAGGAGAAGAGAACCAGGGAGAGGCTGAGAGATACAAGCCCAAATTCAGATACAAGAGCAAGAAATGGGAAAGAGAGGAAACGAAAGCAGAAGACGCGGAGAATCACAGGGGTAAAGTCAACGCAGCCAAGCGAGAAAGGGACTGGGATAAAGAGACAAGAGATGGATAAATAAGAAGAGGAGACAAGGGGATGACAGTCTGACCACAAACTCATCGGTCCCACTCTTCCAGCACTGAATGGCCGCCGGCGGTGTCCACGCCTGCAGATCTGCAGCTCAGCTCATCACAAAACTCACTATCATGTCTGATCTGCTTTAATCACTGAGCAACCATAGTCACACACACACACACACACAGTCACACACACACAGAGACACACACACACCGAGATGCAGACAAACAAACAGAGTTGGAAGGCGCACATGTTCTCCCGGCGAGTGCAGAGAGCCGGTCCTGACAGAGCCACATTAATCACAGCTCCACTTCAGCCAAGTCACTCCTCGCCGAGTGCTCCCGACCTGTCACCCCCACCACCACCACCCCCACCACCAACCTGAGAGCCAAGAGGCTGCACCTAACAATGATGTTACTCCTGCGTCTGGAGGCTAAACACAAAACAAATCGATGCTGATCCAACAACGGGCCTCGGAACACAAAACACTCTCTGATTCTGCCAACACTCAGTCAGACGAGCAGCAGATTCAAGGTGAGGGTGACAAAATATATTTAAATAAATAGAAGAAAGAGGTTTTATTGAGTCCAATGATCAAAGTGACAATCTCATCTTACACTATGCTACAGCTTCAAACAGTCCAAGCAAACATCATGACAGCATGGACTGAACGCCGACTGCACTTCCACCAAATTTTAGCTCAATATTTGTAAAAATTACCAAATTATTGACTTCTTTTTAAAGTTCATCGTAAACTGAGCTCAGTCCAGAAGTCAATCAGATGTAGATTCTTACCTATTGATTACCTTCTGAGAGTTTCATTAAAATCCACACTGGTGCATAAGATATTTTGCTAACAGACAAGCACAGACACACAAACAGACATGAAGAGTAAACTGTGACCTTAGTTATGTGATAATTTGTTAGAAATACATTTTACTAGAAAGTTGGAGGACACTTAAAGACACAGAGACAAAAACAGGTGTGTGTGTGTGTGTGCGTGTGTGTGCAGGGAGGGGGACGGGGGTCTTACCTGTTCTCTAAGGTGCACCAGCCACAGTGGGCGTCTCCTGCTCCCAAACAGTCTCTGCAACTCTTCCACTGGTCACACTGTGCCACTTTCACTCTCAGCATCTGTCCGTCACACACACACACACACACACACACACACACACACACACACACACAC